ATACATATACATATACTCGTACTCGTATATTTGTTGGTGTTGTATTTTGGTTGCCTCTTGCTGCCGACACAAATTGCTTAAAGTGGAAAATTGCTGGCGCTGCATTTGTGTCCTGTTTCGCCCAATCTGCCCCAGTGGATGGCGGCTGGCGTTTGGAGGATGTCGAATGGAGCACGGATGAAGAGTGTGTGGTGCTGGACTCACGATTCGTTTTGGTTTGTGCCTGCATCTATGTATCTTTTATTGGTTTCTTCTATCTCCATCTCTTCGGCACTTTCTCTCAACCTCCACCTCAGTCGCTGCTCGTTGCTGCCTTCCCAATCAAATCAATATTCGATTGATGCGAATGCTATTATCTTTTTATTATGAACATTTATTTGCCGTTGACTGCTGCTCAATTTGCCAGATAATTTTCATGTTGCGCCCCCGACAAATTAGTTCCACCCATTGACGACTAATTGATGAGGGTCCTCGGACGTCTTGTCACCGCATCGATTTACCATAATCTATCACACATCCTGGGCGACGGGCAATTTTTTTTTTGTTGGGAAAAACCAACCCTTTTTGGGGCAAGTCCATCAACTGATTTCTTTATCGTCATCGATACGGCTCCAAGATGTTTTATGGGATATAAATGCCTGGCCTCCTGCCGGATTGCCTGCCTATTGGGGCTGCTTCATCAGCAGTTGCTACAAAGTACGGATCGCAATCTCATAAAGCCAATTCGAATATTTGCTTAAGAATGCCATAAAAAGGGCACAGGGATAAGCCATAAAACCATGTCTAGTATGAGGGATACTAAACATTTGCCTTCAAGCCACCTCCGACACTCACCGACACCCTGGGCCCCGATACTCGTAATAAATATGTTCAGGCAATAAAAAAAGTTAACTTGGAGTTCGTTAAACCAATGCCCGGACTCCAGAACAAATGTAAGCCAGGCCTTTTAGACTTTTTTAATTGTACTTGGGCCAATAATTTTTTATTGCTTTTTAAACGCTGCGCTACGTGAAGAAAATATAACAATATTCGGGGGCGCCTTCCAGGCATCATCTAAAATAAAGCCAGCACCACAAACGTTGTAAACAACATATAATTTGATTGTTCCTTCGACAGGGTCTGGCGAGCATTTTCTAATTAAAATTTGTACTGCAATTGCTTTAATTAAAGCCGCAAGGTGAGCGCCAAACTTTATGGCCAATACAAATTTTGGGTAGAATTTTGTGCTGGCTGGGTGCTGTGTGCTGGAGTTATTCCAAATAACTTTTTCCAGACAAAGTTTACTTGCTAATTTATTGTGTTTGCATTCGAGGGCAGCTTTTAATTAGCAGAAGGACGAACGATTCTCACACCCAGAAAAAACCGTAGCTTAAGTAAATTGTCAACACCAACCCGAATCGGGGCTATGAATTATGTAGTAACCTTTCGAAGGAAATTGCTTGAATTGCCCAATCTCGGGAGTTAAAAACTTTTTATTTTGGCTCACAAGTGACACACTGAACACAGGAACAAGGATTGAACAAGGATTGTCTTTAAATATTCAGTATCTTTTGCTTTCGTACGGGTGTACGCGTTTCTGTGGATTCAGGTTCTATTTCCATTCGATTTGATGGGATTGTGGGGGAACTAGAATAAAATATCTCTTGTTTTATTGACAGCAGATAAAGCAGAACTGCCCGAAACCGCATACAAAATGGCAAAGGGATCATCCCTTTTTGATATATGTTTTCCGTATCTCTCAGGAGTGGCCTTTAAGCTTGAGTAAATAAATCTACTTGGTTAAACTTAACCACCATTCTAACAGTTAATTTACTATGAACTTCCCAAACTTCCCATCAGAGCTCAGTTCCCTTTTTTGAGAGTATTCCACCTTCGATCTCCTGAAACTTCCTTTCCCCTAGCGACTTTTTCACTTGGCGATGACGAAAGAAATTCGCTGTGAAGGCAAAACTTGTTATTTTGCTCTTCAACTTGGTCCTGGTGTTGGTCCTCTTCCTGGGTTATCTCACGTCGAACATCATCATCAGCAGCAGCATCAGCATCAGGAGTATACGTACAGAAGCGGCATCAGTGCCATCATCATAATTTGCTGGCTGCGCTTATCGAACGAACGCCAAAAAAGTTAAGAATAATGTACACTTCAACGTTTGTGCCATAGTTTAAAAAGAAAAAAATTCTGCAAAAGATTGCGGAAGGCATTGGCTGAAGCCATAGCGGCAGAGGAAACAAAGGCCCAAACCGAAAATAGCAAACATAACTTGAGGAAAGAATTTTAGGGGGCTTCCTCTCATCTTTTTTTGGGCTATGGTAGGATTTCCATGTTCCTTTTGTTTGTCCTCTGAGCACTGTGCTTACACAACGGCTTACACTGGCTGTGCTTGTGTGTGTTGTACGAGCTGTGTAATGCAAATGAAATGAGTTTTTGTTCAGCGAGGTATTCATTAAAGCTCGCTGATTTGGAGCCCACAAATTGCATTCGCAAATGGGCAGTGGCAGGCCAGGCCCCACAGACTGCCAAATGTGCAAATATTTATAACTGCAAACAACAGTGGGGCAAATTCATCGGCTGTAATGGCCGGCTGCCAGTTGGAGGCACACAATGTGCGGTTGAACAGCTCTACAGACAGTAGTCGAATCCCATTTGGAATGCTCTTCTCATGGGTATCCCTATACCTATACAAATCATCATCATCATCATCAGATTCGATGCTTCCGCCTGCGTGGACCTGCTGCCGTTCCTCCTCCTATCCGAATGCAAATGTTGTTGATAATGATTTGCATTTACGCGCATTACAGCAAACACATTTCTGGGAGGTCCGGGAGGTAAAGCCTTGCTGGACCCGTACCCAGCATGGACCTAGTTCGGTTCGCTAATGCGAAATGATTGGGAGTCCTTGGACAGGAATTTCTTTTGCAATGTAATTTATCTTCCTCAAATTGAACTGTTCCACAGATACATCCGCGATAAGAGCACAACTGACGTGCATCAGAGGCCTTAAATATCTAGCAAAAAAAAAAACGTGATTACCCCTAACTTAACTCCTCTCACAGCTAACTCCTCTTGCAGTTAAAGCAAAGAGTACCCCAGCATACATATCTTCTGTTGACTCTAACAATTGCTGGTTCAATACAATTATCTAAAGATTTTTACTGATTTATTTACTTGGGACTTATTTACTTTATTTTCTAGAAATTTAGGGGCTCGGCTTTCCCAAATTGTGGCTTATGGGGTTTTTCTTTTTAGTTGTTCTGTTTACAGAAATGCGATACCGCAAACACAACTCAGTTGGACTTCGCTCTGCCAAAAGTTAAGCCACGAGAAATACTTTCCCCGAACTTTAATGCTCCAGGGCAGTATTTTCCTTAAAAAAATATTTAGAAAAGATGAAAATGTTCAAGCTGAATGACCCAAGTGCAGGACAGAAGTAGAGGGGCTACTTACAGACATCAAAGACATAAAACGCACTCACACTTTCCGAGAAGAGAAAGGGTAGGACCCTCTCCACGAACAGAGCAGGAGTTCACTTCTCCAGCCGTGGAACTGAAGGGGGAGCACGAGCGCACTTTCCAAGGAGAGAAAAAGGAACCCTCCGCCATCAGAGAAAGTGAGAAACGGAAGAAAGACTGTCTCGCTGTTAACCCAATTAAAGGGGCGTGGGTCAGCATCAAGAACAGAAAAAAATTGTTACACGACAAACGGTCAAGTCTGCGCCGGATGTCATTCGGTGCACTCGTCTCTGTTTTTCATGTAGTCTCGAGTCATTATGCCAGTCGAGCTGGCCCCAACAAAAAGCAAGAACAACCATTTTAAAAGCGTAAAAGTTCAAAAGAAAAACAGGAAAAATAATAAACGAAATTAAGAAATCCGATTTTAGGAACACCCTTTTGAAAGGAGTTAGGGGAATATGGGGAAGTCAAGTTTCAAGTTTTCAAACTCCAGTTCAGTACTAAAAAGTATTAAAAAGAGTTCTTAATGATTGGAATATAAAATCTTTATTACCAAAAAATATCCATAGTGTGGCAGAGTAGGAGTATGATAAAACAATCAAATGTCCTTAATATTTCTGCAGTCAATCAAGTTGTCTTTTTTCAAAGTATGAGATGACTTCAATAATTCGATTGTCTGACAGAGAACAAATCGAATGAAAATTTAAATGAAATCTCTCCTGAAATGGAAGCGATGGCCGAATCACATTTTAACGGTTATTGAATACGTTTAGCCTAGAAAATACACGAATAAATGTTAGATGAAACTGTCACGCTGAGAGTGTTCACTTGACTTTCGCTTGTGTCGTTTTCCTCGTTCTTTTGTTTTTGCTTATCTTAAAGTTTTATTTTTTTGGTTCGTTTTTTTTTGTGTATTATTTTTTGTTGGATTTTATTTTTGCTCTGCTCGCGCGTTGAGCAAGGACATTTCCAACTGGCTTCATCTTGTTTGACTTTTCCTGCCTTGACGGGGGAGCTTGCTGAGTTGTTGGACTTAAGCCAGCAGCTCTGTCTCTCGCCTTTCGGGCCACCATTCCTTCCGAATTGCTGTCGTCGGACGAGTCAGTCATCAGCATCAACATCAGCAGCAACATAGTGAAAAATATTTACTGCCTTTCTTTCTATCATCCCTCTCTCCCTTCCCCTACTTTGTGTATCCATCTCTTTCTCCTACTGTTTCTTGTAAATTGCTTCGCTTACGTCCAACCAACACGATTTGCCTTTTCCACCTCCTCCTCCTCCTCCACCATCGCCATCGCCTTGACAGGACAACGACAAATTTTACGTGTTGTTTTTTATTTTTACTTCATACTTTTGTTGGTTTTATACTTGGCTTGTTTTTTTTTGTACGCTCTCTCTGGACGGAGATGTGATTTCCGCTACAATAAAATAGACTCTCTACCTTAAAGGCTTTATGGCCCCTGGAATTCGCCAGTTTATGGTTTCTGTTGTTTTTATGCACTCCACCATTCTCCATTCTTCGTTCTCCATTCTCGATTCTCGTTTGGGCCTGGCTCTAAGTTTTTGGCCCATTTATGTTTTCTTTTCGTCACTTTGATGTCCTGCGATGGGTCAGAGTTGGAGCTAAAGTGGAGACCAAATTACCATAAAATATTAAATTATTTATGCAATTCACAATTGGGCAAATTCTTTTGCTGGTCGCCCTCTTTTAATAGCCCGCTGTCAACTGAGGGTCAAGACGGTATTCCTTGGGTTAAATTAAATCTGCGACTTGGATTTATTTTGGGTTTATTTTGTCAGTGGCTCTTGCTAAGCTTTTGAATGGAGGCTAAGATATTAAGAGTTCATTTTTGAGGGACTGCCAAATATTGGCATTGACGCGAGTAAAAGGTGACTATTTGGGAATTTGGAATTAATGGCATAAAAAAATTGCACTTAATTTAATGAAGTTGTGATAAGACGGACACTTTCAATGCAAGTGCAAAAGGAAAAGGAAAAGAAATATGAATTCCAACTCAATGTTTAATAGGAGCCAGATCACCACCAAACAGATATATGTACATACACATACCTACTAAAATATATTAAAATATATTTTTGGAATTGAATTTATGGCATTAATAAATAAATAAGTACTCTAATCATATTTCTTCTCAAACTAATCAACGATTTTTGGTTAGAGGCTAAAGAGATAGAGAGAGATATGTATAGTATATTCACATTGCCCAACAGCATTATATTTATGAATATTTTAATGCACACACCATTCAATTAGTTCAGATTTGATAGCCTCCATAAATGATTTACCATGCTGATCGGAGAGAGAGAGAAACAGAGATTTCAATTTATTTTCACATGATTTATTGAATGCATTTTATTTATGAATTTTTTGTTTGATTTCTGTGTTAAGTTTTTAGTGTTTTAATCATTTGCTGACAATAATCTAATTATTGATTCGTTTTCACAACTTGAAATGGGGAAAATTCCTTTCGTGTATCTATGACTAAAAAATTAATGTACAGTAGATTTAATTGTATGGGGAGTATGGGGAGCATGGGGAGCATGGGAGCATGGGGAGCATGGGGAGCATGGGGAGTACGAGTGCGAGTATTTGACACGCAGACATGAGAGTTATGGTAACATTTAACCTAATTATAGAATCCTGCTGCCATCTCTCGCCATTTCTGCTATTTACAAGGCCGCCTTTAATTAATCTCTAACCTAAATTACGTAACTGCAGATGGCGCAAAAGCTTACAAATAATTGGAAGCCGGACACCAATGTCCGCAGCATCCAAGTCAGCATCCTCGACTGTGTGTCCGCGTGTCCGTGCGTCCCGTCCATTCAATAGGCGAGTCACGTCTGGGGTGTGTGCAACGGTCCCTGCAGCGCCCCAAGGAGTCCCAGGAGTCCCAGCATCCACAGCATCAACTGGGACGTGCTTCTCCCGCTGGTGTTCGTCCACGATGCCGATGCCGTTGACATGATGGCCGATGCGGAATATTCACCTGTTGGGCAATCCGTAATTCGTGGTGGCGACAGTTGCGATTAATATGAATCATTCGACCTGACACACATTCTCTGTGATGGCAGGGGGGTCATCGAATGGGACTTACCGCTGAGGACGTGCAGGTCCACGGAGACGGAGACACTGTTTGATGGCTGGCACGTATAATTGCCGGAATCCTCTTTACGCACGACCGGTATAATTAATGAACCGATCTGCAATCAAAGTGTATCGTCAGTGGGAGCTAACTAACTGCCGGACCGTAAACACCTCACTTACCGTATTCTGATTATCACCCACTGTCCCGAAGATATTGCGATCGAGCTGCGTGTACCAGCCAGTCCGCTCATCGCTCTCGCTCACCTTCTTCTGGCCCCGGAACCAGATGATGTATTTCGGTGGATCCAGGGTCCCCCGAACGATGCAGTGCAGGGCCACCTTGCTGCCGGCCTTAACGAATCGACTCTGATCCCCAATTAGCTCAGTCTTGGGTGCTGTACAGGGATCAAGAATATACGTAAATTGGCGTTTTCTTGGCGCTCGAAAAGTACTCACTGACTATTTCCAAATTAACTTTGGCACTCAGCTTCGGTTCGGTGGCCATTTGACACTCGTAGCCGCCCGCATCGTCGGGCACTACATATTTGATCTGCAGCGACCAGGTGTAGTCGTGATCTTCCTGGAAGATCGACTGGAATCGCTCATCCGCTATGAAGGTAGTCTCGTCCACACTGATAATGTGGTTGTCGCGCATGCGCACCCACGAGACGGGCTTGTCGGAGAGGCGATGTATCTGGAAAGAGGGAGAATATATAAGGAACAGGTTCGGGAATCGATTGTGATCCATAATGAATCAAAGCTGAACCAATCAGGATCAACTAATTGAATTATCGGCTACAAATCGGAAGCAAGTCAAACTAAATTCGATTCAGAAACATTATAGAATGGATAAAGATGCTGCTAGTCATCAGGAATTATTAGGCAATTCGCCTATGAGCATGGAATTTACAAATCCGACTGAAAGCCGTCTCAATGTCTGAGATAATCATTCAACCATGAAATTATCAAGCAAAGGCCAACTATCATTTACATAACTATTATTATGCAAAACCTTGGCCAATCTGCCGCTAATGAGCTTTCACATTTCACGAATTTCATTCGCTGCTAACTAATCCATACATGAATAATTACCAAGGACCCCCGGACAGAGAATGGCACTAATACGGGCACGTGCCCGTTGCCCTGTCGTTCTGGTGTCTGGTTAAAAAATCTGATGGCTCAAGCGCATCAACAGACAGCAAATCAGATCCAAAAGAATGTCTAACGCAAGGAAATGGAAATGAGGTTGAGACTAAATGGAGGTTCTTATGTTTGTGCTGAAATATTCTTATAGTTATGTATTCTTTTGCTTTTGGGCTTAACTTCGTGGCGTGTTCTGTTTAGGGTTTCCTTTCCGTTTCGTATCCGGTTCTGTTTCTGTTTCTGCTCCTGCTCCTGGTTGTGGTCCAACACAGATCAGCATAATTTCATTTGCATATCAACAATTCATTCTGTTTACGTTTATTTTTTATGACGCAAACAAGGCCCCCGGCCCCAGACACTGAGCCAGCAATCCAAGCAGGCCCAAGCATCTATTTAACGTTTACAATTCCATACAATTTATTTATTTTCTGTTCACCCACTCCCATTCTGTTATGGTCTGTTGTTGGATTGTGTTCTACAGATACAGATATGTACGTATGCATATCTGTGAAGGAAGAAACACCTACAGACGCATGTAAATTTGATGTCTGTTGTGGCTGTATGTGAAATAAGTACAGTGTGCAATATGTGTGTGCATGCAAATAAATGTGCCTCTCCAGCTGTATTCGCATCTGTATCTGTGACTACGTATGTCTCTGCGTGGATGTGTGAAAGTCTGTGCCCGTATCAGAGTGTATCAGAGTGTTGGTGTGTTGGCGTGTGAGTGTGCAATATGTAAATGCTAGTTTTATCTCCGGTCCGTTGAAATTAAAAAGGAATTCAGAAACAGTCAGAAAGTGAGAAAGGGATGAAGAGGCGGCTCCACGGTGAGACATTCAGTCTGTCTTAAATTTTGAGAGATGAGTATCACAGACCGAGTCAGTAACTGAGTCAGGGTCGTTCCACATTGAGTGGTTTCAGTTTTCATAGTTGCCTAAGAAGTCTCCTGCAGCTCAGAGCTTTAAGCGTTGGTTTATCCCTTTAAATTTAGTCAGAGTGATTAGGATTTTGTGGAAGTGTTTAGTTAAGATTTGAAAGTGTCACAGCACTTTCTTGCAGATAATTGAACTTGATTGTTGTTGTCCACGTGGAGCGGCCAGAAGCCTGTAGGGGATTTAAATAATGGGCAGAGGGGATATGAACCTCATGTGTGCTGAAGCTCATGTCTATGGGTTTTTGTTAGGTTATTAGGGCCAGAAGAGACAGTCGGTACGCCACAGAGGCCCAGGCAGAGGTCTCTCCTATGGGCTAAGACAACATGAGGTTAAAATAATGTAAGCAAACACGAGACTAATAGTTTGGAAGTCTCTTCAAACTCTTATGCAGTTCTTTCCTTCATTGGTTAGGGCTTCTGTTACTTACACTTAATATAGCATTAGCGTATAGGCTCCTTCAGCTCAATCTTTTGGCCCAGATCCTTCGTTTTTCTCCCGATCAAAGCTATTTGCTCAGGCCCCAAACCATAATGTTATATCCCTCTTTAATAGTAGATCTTTATATATGGCTCTTTAACAGAATCACCCTTTAAGCGGCTTAACCGTTTTCGCAGCTATTTATAGCACGTGACATTTAATTCAAATTTAATATTCGCAATTAAATGTAAGCGCATATTAAAAACCCTTTTACGAGCGATACCTTTAAGGCTTAGCTGACTTACATCACGGGCCCTAACCCCGCCCCTCCATCAACCCTCCAAAGCGAGCACCAAACCCAGAGATTATGCGACACACAACAATGGAGGGGGGGATTGTAGGGCCAAGTGTGACAGGAAGAGAGAGAGAGAGAGGGATGGAGAGAGAGATTACTCACTCACCTGGCATGGCATGTAGGCGTGATTCCCCATTTGGGCGGTGATGTTTAGCACCGGCATTGTCAGATTCCGTCGGACTGCCTGCCCGTCCCCGGCCAGTGCAGCCCGGTGGGCGGCCAGGTACGAGTGCTGCTCATCAAACATTCGCCGCCGTTGCTCCTCTGGCGACAATGTCGCTGCTTCCGCGGATGCTGCTGCAGCGGCTGCGTCTGCTGCTGCTTTGGTTGCCTCTTCTATTGCCGCCGCGGCGGCAGCCGCTGCATCGGCTGCAGCGCGGTAAGCTGGCAAATCCGCTGCCGCAAAAACGGGAAATGGCGGCAGGAAGGTGGGTATGGAGAAGCCCTTGGTCAATGAATCAGCCGCACCCGGATGCGGCAGCGACAGTGCCACCAACGAGTTCTTTTCATCATCCTCAGCAGGGAGCTCGAGCTGTGCTCTGTCCAATGCTCGGTTTTCCAATTCCTTTCTCTGGCTCTCTGCTGGCAGCGTTTCAATGGAGTTGTGGCCATCCGTTTCCGTTGATGCTGGATAAATTGTTGATATGAGCATCGCTGCTGTCGCTCCTGCTGTTGTGGTCGCTGTCGTACGCTCTTCTGCTGCTGCCGCTGTTGCTGCCATTGCTGATGCTGTTTCTGTTTCTGCGGCTGCAGTCGCTGTCTGTGCCGCTTTCTCTATTTGCTCTAGTGCTTGCTCTTCTGTGGGCCGAGTAGTTAGCCCAATTTGTGCTGACTTGGTCGCTCCTATCGTTTCCACACCCACTGCTGCTTCTTCTGCTACTGCGGTTCCTGCTGGTACTGCTGATGACATGCCCCGGGCTACGGCCGTGCTTGTTTCTCTTTCGCTCAGGCTCGTTGAGGCTGCCTCGGTTTCTGTTGTTTGTTTTTTTGCTGTCGTCAAGTTGCTGGCTGTCGTAATTAGATCGTTTTGTGTTGTCATTGGCCTATCTGGCAGTGTGGATCTCGGGGCTGCCATAAGCTGTGTCCGTCCAAGCTGTACCTGCCCCATTGCTGGTCCTGGCTGTACCCCTGCCTGTACCCCTGGCTGAGGCTGTGGCTGCGGCTTTGCCTCGCTGCAGGTGACAAGCTCTGTGGAACATGCAAAATAAACCAGAAATTGTGTGGACAGTCCTTGAATTGAAGCAAAATATTTAACGAGATTTTTGTGGTAAGGCTGACATTTGGGGAAAAGCTTTTATTCATAAAATAATATGGAAATGTAATAAAGATTATAATGAAATATTTAAATTACGTTTGATATTACAATTTTAATATGTTTAAAGAAGCTTGAAAGCTGGAGCTTATCACACGCTTATCCCAGCAAAAGTACAAATAAATTGCTTTGAATTTGCTTTCGTTTAAGTTTAGATATTTAATTTCAAACATCCACACTTGATAATCAAATTAAAAAGTATGTGTTAATTGAATTGAATTCTATTTAATTTAAGCCCAAAACAGATCCAATTATAATATTATATTCAATTTAAATATTCAATACGGCACGCATTACAGGCATATTTTTTAATAATTAAAAATTCATAAATGCAGGCAAAAGGTGTAATTACATTTACTCGCAAACTCTGACTTTTCCAGCCTGAGTTAAAGCAGACACGGATAATGGCCTTTTGTTTATATTTCGTTTATTTAATTTGGTTGAAATGCAATTAAAAGGAGCTTGTTTGCTTTATACTAAACTTGTTGTCTTAGCATTACGATTTTTACTTATTTTCTCTGCTATATAGCCTATCATTCCGTAATGATGCCCAACTAAACAATCACAACTTGAAGGAAAACTCATATTTAATTTAATTCTTCACATCAAAGTGAAAATTCAGAAATATTATTCCCGTTCTGCACGGCTCATGAATTGAAATTCCAATGAAATATTTACCTTTTTCTCACTTTCTACCTGAGTCCCTGAGCTCTCACTCTTCTCTCGCAATGGTTGTGTCACACACAGTCGCACATGTATTCCGTTTCAGTTAATTTTCAATTACGCTTTTATGCTAATTAAAATCATAAAAATTTGCCGCTTAATGTCACTGCCTGTGGTGGCTTTCGTTTCATTTTGTTTCTTTTTCTGTGTGGGGTTTTTTTAGTGAATAAAAGTTGTTTGTTTTTTTTTTTGTTACTTTTGGCTGACTTTTTCCATTTCCTTGCCCGGTTTCTGTTTCCCCTTTAAACTTTTCCTTTTTATGTTTTTCCCACTGTGCTTTCTGTGCCCTAAAGGAAAACTCACCGACAAAAAAGAAATGGTAACTTTAGCTTTATAATCATTTCATATACACGTGAACTCCCAGCGTCCTTGGCAGGTGGTTTGCGGAGAAATTAAATTCGCAGCCCACCCCATCAGCCACCTGGCTTTAATTACCAAACTGAAATGCAGAAAAGCAGAAAAGCAGCACAAATATTTATATTTGTTTTATTAAATTTATGATATGTTGGCATTTAAATTGTAATTATTATCCAGTCATAAATTTGTCATCCGTGTCTGTTCGATGTTTGTACAATTCATGAGCGAAACTAATTCGATTTTTATAAGCGGTATTTATGGATTCCAAAAGGTATGTTGGTTATCGGAAGGTTTATAAAATATGGCCCATATTCCGTGAACCAGGTTCTACCAGGTATCTCACAGTCGAGTCCCCAAATCAAGGCCCAGGAATGCTGAACTTTTTTGTTTTCTTTTGTGCAAGTAAAGTGAAGGTCCATCAATTTGTGAAAAACTTTATTAAAAGATTACAAAGCTAATAACTTGAGGCAATAAATTGCCAACCAGCAAACAGAAAAAAATAAGAACATCTGCCAAAACTAGGCGAAAGCCACAGCAATGATTAGCTCAACACTCATACCACAATCGGAGCAACTTTCTTTTTTGAGCAACTTTCTGCGCCGACACTCCGAGAAGGACATGTTTGTCTTGGGGCTAAGCATACACTAAATTGTGGGGGTGTGTCCCAAGACCAGCACCAGGACTTGAACTTGGCAGCAAAGTCATTGAAGTGAAAAGTTTTTGAGCAAACCACAAAAACAGGCAACAAGAGGACGAGAATTGCGGACTGCAGCTGAAATCATTTCAATTTCAGCAAGTTCGAGGACGAGTATTTCTAAGAATTTGTCGTTTGATCAAAGGTCACTAAATTTGTTTAGAAGTTAAAATTATTTTAAGGAATTATATTTCATGAAGAAGATTCACAATAAATAGTTTTGTCTTACAGTAAAAACTCACGGATATGCTCCTTGAAGTTACACGAGAAGTTTTGGCCATACATTTCCCATAGGGAAAAATAAGGAGAATATATATACGTAGAAGTAAAATCCTTTTAAAAGATCCCATCTATGGCTTCCTAAAGATATGATTGTAGGTCTTAATGTTGGTGCCCGGACATATCCCCAAGCGTTCATTTTGATTAACCTTTAACCTGCAGAATGAACTTCTTACAATGCTCGTATCCCAAACTTCAATACCTCTATATTAAAACTTTAATATTGGTGTTAGGAAAACAAACTCATTTGCGGTTACCTTCAGCCCAAGTCCCACCCTTACCCCCAAGGATATCCCGGACAAGTTCAATGCTCAAAGGGCGTGGGGGTTCGTGGGGGAGAAGTCTACGGCTTTGTGCTGATTTCAGGACTAAGATTTCAGTGGCATGATAAAATAGAATTTGCATTTTAAAATTATTTCATTTCACGTTCTTGTCAGGGCCAATGATTTAGGTAGGGCAAGCCAATTCAACCATTCCACTAGAATCCATTCTCGTGTTACCTTCAGTTTCGGTTGGACAGAAAATCTACGTGTCTCGCTGGCGAGAAAAACCCCAAAAAAAAGATGGAGCTCCGAAAGCGAGAAAAAAGAGAATCCACACAGGGAAACCGCATAAATTTCCCTCACGAAATCATTTCCAGCGAATGCGTGTGATTTGCCTGTGTTGATAAGGTCCAAACGAAGCCCAGTTTCAGGCTCTGGCAAAAAAGGTTCCCAACGAATGTGAAATTTTTGTTAAAATGCAAATTGAAAATTTCACTGCCCCACACCGTAGAGAAGAAAACAAAATAGTAAATTTAAAATCTACCTCAGAACTGTACACTTTTCCAGTGGTTTGTTTTGCTCTTTATTCGGTTTGTCAAGATATTCATTGCTTGGATCCAATACTGAAAGAAATGCACCCAAAGCCAGAGAGAAAGAGTTGCTCAGCTCAAGACAGAGTTTGCATTTTCAATTAAAACAGATTTAGCCGGCAATCAATTCGGTTTTGATTTCCTCTCAAAGGACCAAACCAACCAGTCAAACAAACAATGGAAAAAAAGGAAGCAATAGCAAAAACGAATTTTATTTTTGTGGAAAGTTGAGCATTTGTAATTCGCAAGAAGTAACGACATTTTAGTTGATGTTACGACTATGGAATACCTTCCTATTCAGCTATATGTTTTATATGTAACATTCGTCTACAAGTAGACAGTATGCTCTTTTCCTCCATGCATACCCCATAGAAAAGAGAATATGAGAAAAGAAAGACATAAGAGAGATGGCCGTGCTACAAAAACTATGCCCCGTAAGCCGATTAATTTTGTGGGTTTTTGCCGTGTTCTCCCTTTTGTTTGCTTTGGCACAGGAGATGAAAAAATAGCCTCTACATGAAGTGTGATCTAGCCATTTACCGCACTTGACGATATTCGGACAGACAGACCCACAGATACACAGTCGAAAGAGTGAAACGTGCAATAACACTCAAATTGTTTTCTGGTTCTCCCTCGGTGTCCAGGGAGGGATTCCATTGCCCCGTTGGCATGGCAAGTGGCCCCACATCCGCTTCTCAGGCACCACTTGAACGACCCCCCATTTGTGGATGCTATTCGTCCCGTCCGGTGAGATTGGAACTAAAGTCCATATTTTAAGCCAGAATAAACTGCTCGCTCGGCTTGACTCGACTCGAACGCCAGCTGAATAGTAATGCTCACAAATTAGGCACACGGCTGGTACAAAAATTACTCAAATTGCCTTTCCACTCGACAGAGATAGAGAGAGAGAGAGAGAGAGATACAAGAAACTACCAACAACAGCAGCAGCAGCAGTTGTTGTAAATGAGCGTGTGGTGAGTGTGAGTGTGGGCTTATGTAAATTGTGAAATTGGTTTAGACAACTACAAAATGTGGCGCCGCATTAGACTGGAAGACCATCAGCATCGTCAATGTCATCAGCTTCAGTGAATAGTTAAACAATGGGTGACAGCTGGAGCAAAAGTGAACAAAAGTACAGACAGTCTACAAGTAAAAAAAGAACGTGTTTGAATGTGAATATTCAACTTTCTCACGTTCTTTTTAAGATTTTGAACTGAAGAACGGCTTTAAAATTACATGAGACTGTCTCCAATTGTGTGTTTGGGGTTATACTTCTCTATCTTTTTATTTTCCTTCTCCAAAACAGGCCTTAAATTCCAAAAAAAAAAATGTGACACAGGAAAAATTACGAATGTGTCCTTGGGCATTTCCATAAAAATAATTAAAACAACATTTTTAGCAGACCTAAAATTCTGTATAAAATCATGGAATGGCTCAGGGCAATGCAAACGTTATCCACATAACGAAAACCGAAAAAACCTTTCAAAACTATTCTCATTTAATACTTTCAAAAGCGGCTAAGCCCTTCCCATTGTACAGGACACTGCCATATGCCATGCACCAGCAGTCCGGGTCCTGGCTGGCAGCAATGACGCAGTCACCTGAAGGGGTTGAGGGGCAGAGAGACAGAGAGATGGGTCCAGACTCGTCCATATGGTGTACTCATCCTCGGCACTTTGACCCCTTAGTTAATATTTCATGAATTTTGCCTTCAATGGTGTCCATAGAGAACGAAGAGCAAAAAAACTGATTGGATTTAGAAATTGAAGTTGCAAATTTTTTCTTTAATATTGATTAACTTTTGCCACAACTGAAATGAACTGAAATTTAATTTAATTAAATATTAGCTTACTATAAAAAATGTTGAATTCCCGCTTTGTTTCCTGCATTTCTTGTTTATTGTTTAACAAATTCATTATTTTCCCACATTTTTAGTTTTTCTTCTATTCAGTTTTCCACATAAATATGTT